ACATTCAGACAAGGATATTTGGAGAAGCTATACTCCAGAAACATTACAAACCAGGTCCTTCAAATTTGCATCTTCAAAAGTAATGAAAGTACAAAGACAGGTGAGAAATAAAAAGAAATAATCACAAAAGAAACTGAAGTATCTGTTCAAACAGTTCCACAGATAAAGAATTATTCACTTTAAGTTCAAACTGTCAAGTTCACATCACTCAGAAGATCTACTAAGGCAAAATAAAGAGTTCTCAGGGAAACGAATAGATGACACTCAGAGATGATAAATCAATTTACAAAGTAACATCAAAAAAGACAAACATCTGAGATTTTCTTTATACTGAAATCTAAAGATCAACCATGTCAGGCATGCCTGGGGCAATGGGAAAGACATGCAAAAACAAGCCAGAAGAAATAACTCCACTGTCAAATAATACTAGGTGGCTGCAAAAAAGAACTTAAATTACCAATACGTAAAACCCAAGTGGCAAAGAAACAAAGAAAGGTTCAAAGGTACCTGTACTCCTACAGCAATATTTAATAACAATATGGAAGAACAGCATCAAATTACAGTAATTTGAAAAGATGTTTTAATATCCCATTAAAAACATGCTAATTCACCAGGAGTGAACTTTTCTTTTTTCCCCACAATTTCATATATAAGTATACTATTTCAACATATTAAAGCTATATTCTTCCCAACTGAGCATCTCCCACCTGTTTCTATTCTGTACCACTCACCACAGGAATTCCTTTCAGAATATTTTGTCACAGAAACCAGTTTTTGTTCACTCTGATATATTTCTCAATGCAACATGTATGTCACATATACTTGTTTTTTCCAAAAGGTGCTTTAACTCAGTACAGAAATGTCTCATTAGGCAGAAATTGCAGCAATTTCATATTAACTAGACTTTAAATTGTAGTAAATCCCTTTTTTATTAACATAATAGATGCTAAGTTTGCACATGTACCTAATTCATTCAAAATAAACTGATCTAGTTCAAGTTAGAACAAAATGCACCTAATGCAAATTTTTAGTGCTATAATTAAGCACTAAACTGGATAGAAATTTTTGCTGGTTTGTAATTTTTTTTTTAAACAGTACATATATATTCCATTTCTTGCATATATTTGCTCGAAAAACTCCCATCTGAAGATTCCAGAGTACCAAAAAAAAAAAAAAAAACCAAAAAAAACCCTGTGTCTTTTTCAGATGACAATAATGCAGCATTAACCTCTTGCTTACAGGGGATCTTGCCATACCAAGAGAAGAAGATCTTTCAGAATATAAAGATTATTATTACAAAACCCAATCTGTGGTAGCCAGGACAGAAAACAAGAATGTCAACAGACACAAATTTGCTTCAGCCACATTACAATTACAGGACTTCACCAATTCCCTTAAACGAATCCCTCTGTCTCAGCTTCATACTATGGAACTGAAATGTTTCAGAATATATCTGAACTCGATTTACAGCAAGTTAGGATATCCACTTGCCACTTGGTAAACATTAAATTTCTAGAAATGTTTAGTGGAGCATGGAGAGCTTGGTTCAGAAAAATCTCTACAGAGCTTTTGCTGCCTAGTCTAAGTCTCAGAGATGATACATTTTTAAAAAAGCTAATTCCAGACGAACTGTCATTAAACACCAACCTTCAGCAAAAACTGTAGCCTCCTCTTTTCTAATACAAATGTTTTACATATTCTGTAAAAGCTCACCAATATTTTCCTGAATTGAAATATCAATTTTTTAAGCTTGAATAAAAACATATTTCAGCCATCTTTGAGAAATTATTCTAATTTAATATGTACCAAATGTTACTTTGCAAAATAAGAAACAAAATCAGCTTCAGTGTTGGAGGGGAATGGAAAGTGGGGGAGGGAGTGGTTATGTATATGCAAAAACTGGGTTTTGTACAAGACATTATATGAAACAAGGTTTCCTTCTTTCCCTATTCAAAATCATGTTATGAAAAATTAAGTATGTTGAAATGTTTTAAATCACTGGAGCTGAAGAAACATAACCACAAATATGTCTAAAACTAAATTAAGCTCACAAAGCAAAAGGGAATATGAGCAGGATAGAAATCTAACTATCACGTGGACAGGAGTTTAGAGAGCAGTTTCTGGTCTACTGAAATGGCATTTCTTCCTAAGCACACAGACTATTGTCAGTGGATATTCTGTTCTCTCAGGAAAAATTATGAACAGATTGGACAGAAAACAGAATGGAAATAAAGAAAAAAAACCTGTCAGAATTCTTCATCTAGCATCTCAATCTAGATGCTGCTTTTTAAAAGAAAACAGGAGGAAATGAAGAAAGAGGTGTCAGACTAAAAAACTGGCATATATCATGGAATTCAATGAGCAGTAACAAAAGAGCTGCTATTTTAGAATCTGTTAATAGGAAATACTAGGGATATTATACCTGAACTCATCTGCCCTTCCAGACAGTATGAAGTCTTAAAGTGCAGGCTTGTAATTGTACAAGTGCAGAACAAGCCTAAGAGATCTCAATTTCTTAGGGAGTTATCTTAAAAAAAAAAAAAAAAAGCCTAAAAAACCAAACCAAAACCAAACAAACAAAAAAAAAATCCCCAAAAAAACCCCAAAAAAAGAAACAAACAAAAAAAACCCCAAACCAATAACCCACAACAGGGTAAAACAGGTACTTGGACAACCATGACAAACAGTGAGATTTTATGCAACTGCTTTTTCCTACAAGCAAAAATAAGTGAGATCTAACCATATTGGCTAAAAGGGACATACAAAAAACGATGAATTTTAAGAACCTAAGATGGCATTTAAAAAAAGTTTCTTGAAAATAGGAATGACATTTGCTTCCCCTCCCCCAAAAAAGAAAATCCCAGGAAGTTCCCCTAATTGCTGGGACATTTCCAATATGGTCAAGTTTGGCCTTGAAGGAACATCAGCCAGCTCACTGAGTACTGGTGGGTGTATTCTATAAAGTCCCATGGGACTTGTCTCTCCATCTCAAAGGTTTCCACATGTAACCATAACCGTCCCTTTTTCCATTAGTTCCCAAATCACATCTCCAAGCTTTTGCTATCAACCATTTACTAATTAGAACATACTTAAGCTGAAAGAGTAAAGTTTTTCTGACTGAAACAGCTTATGTTCTAAGAATAAGGCATCAACACTTATTTTTTAAAAAACAAAGCATTACTATTAATTCAAGATTTTCTATTTAGATTTTAATGAATCTAAGGTACACAATAGCTGAACTCAAGTATTAAGTTCTCATATTATGAGTCACCACTGTGACTAATTAATTGTATAATATTATATCTACTCCATATATATATATATAAAATGCTCCATATTTAGTTACTGCTGCAAATCCTGATCAGCCTTGATCTGTGTGCTGACACTGAAGCTACTGTATCATGGCTTTCCTTCCTCTTATGCCTGTTCCCAGCTACTGCATTATATAAAGACACATACAGTAGGAATGAACAACTGGCAAAATTTAACAGAGACTAAATTAATGAGGTTTGATTTTCATATTTTATTTTCTTTCACACTCCTTTTAGTTTATGTGAATACAAATTGATGCAGTTCTAAAAGAAAAAAGGAATAGGATTGCAAGTCAAACAGAAAAATCCCCAGTAGTATATTAGCTTAGATTTTATTACTGATTACCATGAAGGTTTAGAATGGCTGTTAGAAAAAGACAGGGTTTTACCAAAAGCCATCAAATAACAGTAATGAAAACAAGGTGTTTTTCAGTTTTACTTTGCCATTAGCAAGTATATACATTTTAAATATAAAGAAGCTGGTCTACAATCCATAGTAAACGGGAAGATGCATCAGGAATGTGAAAATCATGACAATTGCCCAAAACTAAAACCTGATTTACTTGAAAGTCAAGCAAGATAAACTGGACTTTGACTGCAAAAATTTTGTTTCTTTGCTTTTTAATAACTCTTGTATCATTTCAGTAACTTTGTAAAAGCAGAAATAAACCAACATTTACCCAAACACTAAATATTGAACAAAGACTAAAAAGGAGTATCGGAAATCTACTAGGATGTTTTGCAGAAAGCACAAACTGAAATTTCAGTTATCAGTTGATAAAGCTTTCTGAGACTTTAAGTATTTTGATATGGTAGTAGAGCATAAAAAACTCTACATGTGTTTAAGAACACGAATTCATCCAGAAAATTGCAGTCAGCACTGCTCATGTCCTATAAATAATTCAAATGAACATATAAAACAACTTGTTTCTTCATGACTTTTTTCCCCTCTTAAATTACTTTTACTATTGTTCTTACAGGAAACTCTTACTGCAAATAATGAGAAAACTTGTTTCTTGGCAAATGACTTAACTGGATCATGACAGACTTAAAATACTGCAGTTATAAATACAAAATGGTATATTCTAAGATCTGTGGTAAGCCACCACTTAATTTAAGTCTCATTTTAGGATGGGGAAAAAGCTCAGGAAGATAAAACTTGTGTAGCCTTTAATTAAAACAGAGATGCCATTCAGATTTAAACATCCTGATTTATGTGGAAAAAAAATCCCAAACCAACAACTACTCCAGGGTTACTACCCTGCAGTCAATTTTTGTGAAAATGTGGAACTAGAACAGAACTTTGAATATAAATATGTGTTTTATAGCTGTAATGGAATTTTTCTTTCTGAAGAAAATTTATTTTAAAGTTTAAAAAGTTTAAATTTATCTCCAGCTGAGATAACTTTAAAAAAATTAATGAACTCAAGGAAACTTTATTAGCACATGTCCCACTGCCTTCAGGAAAACCTTAATGCTTTAGAAAAATAATCAAGTTTGAGCTGTGAAATAACAGCTAGTGTACTGCAGAGGGAATTTTTAAGAATAAACTGATACAGTTTTAAAGATGGAATTTTAAGCTGGAACGTTAACTTAGTCCTAGTGATAATGTTAAACACTCAGTACAATGAAAGTGAGTTTTCTTTTCCCTACAGAAAATGCTTTTTAAGTAACAACTTGATGCCTTACCTCTAGGTCACAGCTGTATTCCGTGCCATCCAGAAGCACTACCTTACACTGCACAGTTTTGATTTTCTTTGGAGACTTCTGAGGAATGCTATCTATTTTAATTTCAGCTGTCTGCACTTCTTTTGTCTCCCTTTTTTCTTCTTGTCTTTCTTCCTTTTTCTCTGCAACTTCCTCTGTTTCTTTACCATCTTCTTTGGAAGGCTATATAAAATACAGTTAAACAAACTCAGAAAGGAGTATATTTTAAACTTGTTCATTCTTTTTATAAGCTACTAATAAATAAGACAGTAACCATTCATTAAAGTTATGCACATACTGTAATCACAATAACCAGCATAAGCATTAGGGTCTTATTTTAGGGACCAGATATTCTTGCTCTCAAACCAGAAAAGGTGCCTCTTTTTCACTTCCCTTGAAATGAGGTTTGCTTTTTTTTAATACTGGTTTTCTTCCAAAGAGAAACAAATTTATTAAGAATCTCCAGGAATTATACTAAACTAAACCCCAGTGTTTATGAAAGTCAAGTGATACAGAATCATAGAATGGTTGAGGCTGGAAGGGATCTCTTGAGATCTAGTCCAATGCCCCTAGGGTCACAGAGGGCAATTTGCCCAGGACCATATCCAGTTGGGTTTTGGATATTTTCACAGGGAACACTCCACAATATCTCTGGTTGATCTGTTTGAATGTCTGACACAGCCCTTTACCACCCCAGGAGGCCTATCATCTGCACTACCATCACCTGGCCACGTGCCTTGCCAAGGAAAGGTCCTACCACCATCAGAGTAAAAAATATTTTCTTGTGTTTTGAGATGTAATTTCATGGGTTTAATTTGGGTCCCTTGCCTTTTGTCATCTAACTGCATACCACTGAGAAGGGTCTGGCTACTCTGCATTCCATCCTTTCAGGTATTAATACATACTGATAAGATTCCCCTTCCTCCTTCTCTTCCTCAGTGACCAGTGTCAACTGTCCCAGCCCCTCCTCATACAAAGCATTCTCTGTGTGCCTTCGCCACCCTAGAATATGAATGTTAAGAGCTGACATGCAACTTCACAAAAAGCAGGACGGGAACCTAGCAACTGGAATAGCTGTCATTTTTTTCCCCAATATGATCCTAACAAAGATTTACATGAATTATATAATTCATTAATCAGATTTCATTGAAATTACACCAAAGTACCTATGAGCCTTCCCACACGTACCTGTATTTCAGCACTGCTAACTGAGTGTTTTTCTTTGTCATCTGCTTTAGCATTCTGCCGGTTTTCAGTTGCTTCTTCCAAGCTCTTTCTTGGCTGAGCCACCCCCTCTAGTGCCTGGCTTTCACTTTCTTCAACTACTTGCTCTTCCCCCGTGGCCCTCTTCTTGGGCTCATCTTTGGGCTCTGCCAAGGTGTATGACTTTTGTTTCTTAAGCCAAGGGGGGAGGAAACGAGAAATACCCTTGCTTTCAGGTGAAGATTTTTCCTTCTTCTGGCTACTTGGACTACTTTTGCTAGTTGGTGCTGGGACAGAAGAATCTTGAGCCTCTCCAGAGGATGTTTCCCTGGACTTTTGATCTCCTGGAGTCTCTGATGCTTCCTCAGGCTTGTCCTTAGCTTTGTCTGGTCCCAGTTGCTCAGAATCCTTCTTTACTTCGGTCTCTGAACCAACTTCAGTTGTCATTATCACAACTGACACTAAAAGAAGCAACAATAAAAACAGTTTTAGTATGTAGCATCACTACTTTTACTGACTAATTATTTGCAGTAATTTGTAGTAATTCATAAACTCTTGTAGATTACTAAATTTATTACGGTTAAAGAAATACTTCTTTCCAAATTTTGAGTTCACAAGACCAATAAGCTAAAATTTAGTGCTCTGCAGATAAAAAAATCTATGGTTTCCTTCTCCTTGATAAAATTTCAAGTGTGCTCACTGAAAGGCATTTGTTTTATTGTAAGGTACTCCTAATGCTATTGGCCAAGATTATTTCAGAAGTAATTTCAGTTCTCCTTCTACTGAGCTCCTTAGCAGACCCAGAAAATTAATTTTCAGAAGGGCAACCACGTTCTCTAGTAAAACTGGTAAGTACAACCCCCCTACTATTTGGCAACACTTACAAACTTAAAATACATCACTGGAAGTGAAAGAGCAAGATTGGCAAAGAAGAGGACAAAACGAAGGTGAGCATGATAGTGAGTACAAAAAATTGGGAAATTATAAGTCAGTGATATTGTTGAAATTACTAATAATGCTGGGGCGCATACATTTTTAATTAAGGTAAGATTGGGTTCTTAATAAGAAGTTCATACCAATCAACATAAAATCATACATAACTCTTATACTCTCATCACTTCTGCTTACTCTTTCTTCAGTGAAATTAAAGATAAATCACAATAATGTAACAACAGGATATGCAATAATAACCTTTCAACTTAACATTATTGGTATTTATTGGGAAAAAAAAACCTAGAATAAACAAATGTTGTTATTTGTGTGGCACTGTACTGTGCTGCATTGCTTTAAAAGTGTAATATAACTACTTTTTTCCAATTTATTGAAGTGAGCCAACAAAAAAAAGCATACAAGGGCCAGAAAAAAGTTTATAATGGTTAGATTTCATTATTCTTCTGAAAACAATTAATTTAAAATTGATGGTCTGTTTTTCTGGCCTAAAGTTTAGCAGTTAGTTGCAATCACATTTATATCTTTATAACATGGGAACCCTCTCTGTCATGATTAACTTCACCTCATGCCATCAGAGGCAGGAAGCTCTTAGGTTCAGAACACTTGCTGAACTCCACTGCTCCCACCCGTGCCCAAAAAGAGTCAAGGTTATTTAGCTCAGACTTGATGCAATTAATCTGCACAGCACTTCAAACTGCATTTGAAACCGACTGAGAACTAGTTTCCAGCACAGGGCAGCAGCAACACTTTGCCCTCCAGGTTTCCAAAGCACATACACGGGCAATCAGAAATAGTTAAGCTAAACCAATCCCTAATATGAAAGAAATAAAAAAGGAAGCTAATAGAGACCTAAATATACAAGAGAAGACATTCTGGCCAAAGAGATGAGCAATACTGAGCCAAAGGAAACACCATCTTCACAGGACTCTTACTAAGAAGCCTAGTCATAGGAGCCTTGAACTATCTAAAGGCAAATTCACATTAAGCATCTTGAGACCAGAGCAGCTACAATGGTGTGTGGGGGTTTTTTGTTCATCACTTAACACTTCACTATCTAAAATTAAAGCATTCCCAAATCGGGAATTAAATTAAAAGTTAGTACCTTTATGCTACACTAGAGACTTCTGAATACATTTCAAGCTTAAATACGACAGTTATGTAGCCATTTCTACCATTTTTTATAAAACCCTTCAAGTCTCAATACTACTATTAAAGTTTGTGATGGAGTGTTACACATTATGTAAGTACTATTTATCTCAGAGGTAAAAGGCCTCTGAAGGGCAAATTTCTATTTTACTGTTGAAATTAAAGAATTTGCTATTTAAATCCATATATTAGTATGCTAGTTCTCAAGCTGCTACTGATCAAATTACATTTTTCTATCACCTTTGCATCTCACACAGAAATGCTCCTGTTTTTTCCAAGTGGTAGGTATCTTATTAACATAACAATGTAAAACTTTATTATCAAAATGAAAAATGAACAATATCTAGAAAACCAAACTCAACTTTCCCTGAGAAAAATTGAAACTGCTGCTGATCAGAGAATAACAATCCACACTGCTTAATTAATTCATAAGGGAGGTTTCATAAATAACAGAGATGGTGGTGATTTTTTTTTCATACATCTCTAAGAAAGAACCAATTTCTTCTCAGAAAGTAGCTAAAACAATTTTATAATACTTGATATACAAATCTTCAAAAAAGTTATAGAGCAGCCACTATATTTCCTGCACTTTTTGATTTACTTTTCAAAATATGCAGAAAAACATGAAATACATGAGCAAACTAATTAAAAATCATTATATACCATTGCCAAAATTAATATTACAATTTGATTATACAGCCAAAAAGGAGACATCTCCAGAAAATGCCTTAGAACTAAGCAAAATCAGTCACCCTGTAAAAACATCCCCATGATATTGTTCTAACAATAAAAGAAACTGAGGATATCAAGTCACACATCTTAACTGATTAAATTTAGACAGAATAGCAGTGGGTGGTACAAACTTGCTCAGTGGAAAACAAGGAAGATTTTGCGTCTCAAGTATCCAGGTTTTCATAATCAAAGTTATAAGGAGAACTTGGCTTTATACTGCAGCAGCAAGGGAAACATGTTACAGCCCCTGTCTGAAGAGGTCTGTCCATGTTCACTAAATGCCTTTATTTGATGCCCACAGCAGGAGGCATTTCTTTCATGAGCTCAAGTTCCTACACGCTTGTAACTACAGTGCTTTTCAGGGCGGGAGGGGAGAGGGGGAGAAGAGGAATAGACAGGAGAACCCTACAAAAGGAAGCACACCTCTCTGCTGAGCCTGTATATTTCTTTATACTCCCAGTAGTCTCTGAATTAACTGTGAAGAGGTGGATGAGTTAATTACACAAGGGCACTGACCAAGAGTGTAAGTTATCATCTTCCCAAAACACCTACCTTCTCTACCACATTAGCTTGATACATTTCTTTTTCCCAGAGCTGCAAGTTAGTACAAGAACTAGCTATCCCTTGAGAAACACAAAACTGGGTCTCACATTCCCTATCTCAATGCTCTGTCAGATCCTCCAGTTTTGTAGTTCACCGAAAAAACAGAGATAGGGAGGAAATCAGGATTTCTGAAAGTAGCTTTTTCCTGATTCCCTCCTGCCCTGATAGGGAAGATGTGAGCTGATCTCACACAGCTCTGGTGTAACAGCGAACAGTGTGCCAGACAGCGAATGGAAACAAGCAGCAGACAGCATTTGTCTCAGAAGTGATATAGGGAAGAAATAAATCAAATCAGGTTGCAAATTTAGAATTCTCAACTTCGACTGCATGTTTTCTTGCTTTCCTGTCTTCAAGTAAACTCTCATTTATTCTTACTATGTAGCATGAGCTCAATAAGTATTTTTGCCCCTATAATCTTTTGTAAGCCCTGTAACAACTGCAGCAGGATAGGGCTCTCCTTATCTCACATTTCTTGTATTGCAAGGTAACATTAAATCTGTGTTTCATTGGAATTGAGAAAGGAGAATAACAATCTTGCAACATGAGTAGACTAAAGAGAAGGAACCTTAGGGTGATGATCAAACAAAGGATTACCAATGTCTGAACAGGGAAAAGAATAATCTTTGTAGATTCTGCAATTGACATTAAGCCCATGCATATTAAACCACAAGTGATAATGACTGTATATTTTGTAATCCTCCCGAAAACGTGGCTCATGCCAACTGAATGACTACCTAAACTGCAAGGATGAAGGTGGGGGTGGGATGGCAAAAAGTACTGCAAAACACTTTGCACTTTCTGAAGAGAAAGTGAGTTTGTTAAAACTGATCCCACTTTTACAGGAAGCAGATGATCTGCCCCATTTCTAACTCTACCAACTTCTCCAAGCAAGGGTGCTGACGAGGAAGCAACTGAAGACAACAGATATTCTCACTCCTCTCCATTCATCCCTTCCTCTCTCTTTTTATTGCACTGAGAAGAAATTTAATGCTGGCCCAAGTTCACAGCTGAAAGCAGAAAAGATGTTACATTCTTTCCTAACACTCTTTGCTCTCAGGTGTATAGATTGTCAGCTGGTTGATACCTTTCTTCCAGTTTCTAACATAAATTCTTGAAATGTAATTTTCTGACCAAAAGGATTCCTGGCACCCTAGATAAACTAGAAACAGAAGATGTATCAAATATATCATGAAGTTTAAGGAAAAAAAAAAAGGGAAAAAGAGAAGGAAAGAAAAAAGTAGCGTAGCTCAAATATCACAGACAATATTAAAACCAACTGCAATAAAATTAAGGTTTTTTTAATGATGCATGCTTTAATTCACTGCTTCTGTTACAGTATTTCTTATTCATCAGCACAGACGAACAAATCCAGGTCCTTTTTCCATACATTTCTGGATCTCATGTTACTTATTTTCTGAGTACATAAAAGTGGAAAATACAGCCCTAAACTTGTTTCTTCCTTTTTCAGTTTGTTACTGAAGTTCATAGCAAACTCAAGAAATAAAAATTGCTTTGATAGTTTTATCTCCATCAGTCTACTAGGATTCACAGAGAAATCGTCATGTCATAGAAACAAAAGGGAAAAAAATCAACCTACTTCTACAGAAATAAATTACAGCTCAGTGCACTAAAAGCCAATGTGTGTCTGTGCAAGTCAGGTAATTTTCTGGATCACCACAGTATTAATAATTTATTTTTTAAATCACTACCTTCATAAATATTCCAAATATTTATCTCACATGGGGTACACACAAAAAAATCCAAAAATATATCAAAGAAAATTTCTAACATCTGAAAAAATATACACAAAAACCTGAAACAAGGTCATGTGCATTTCAACTGCCTAAAACAAAGCAAAAGTGCTCCCAAATAAAGTTGTTTATTTCTTGTCATATTATTGATCTGAAGCTCAGCAGAAGCCTGATCTGCATTTCACAGTTGGTTGAGACACATCATTCACGCTTGCTGCTTTCAACATGTAAGATTTGTTGATATAAAAGCTATAAAGAAGTAAAATCCCAGCGGGAAC